TGAGAAGCAACATGTAGACTCACACCTGCACAACGGCTTACACCACGCTTTAAATAGATCTTGCCTGAACATACCTTCCTTTGCAAGGTGATCGGCCATCCCTTTATGAGACCTGGGCTCGTAAATGACCTTAATAGATGCAAACGATTTTGAAATACTGTCAATTTCCTCCAGAACACACCACCATTTCCAAGGCCTCAACAGTGGAAACGTTAACCAATTCAGCACCACCTGACAATCAGATTCTACTATTAAGGGGGTAAGACTGCTGCACCCCGCCTCTAAGAACACCTTCAAAGCGATCAACATAGCATAAATCTCCGCAAACTCCGGGCCCTGATAAGATAAAGGACCAGAAAATAAGGATTTAACCTCACCATTCGAGGTTCTTAAGACCCCACTACACCTAGCTAGGCCTCGATTTAAAGCTCCATCTACATTGAACTTAACAAACCCACTCTGAGGAACAATCCAAGAATCGGGAATGAGATTTTCTGAAAAAATAGACAAACATGAGGATAAGTCCTTCCACCAAATTTCTGTGCACAACGAGATTTTTCATTGATGGCTTTGATCCAAATGGAGGCTCTCATTTTAGAGAAGAAAATAAGATTGATAAGGGAAGTGGCTTTATCTTTAAATATTTTTTCATTTATAGCCAGCCAAAGACTCCATAACGCTGCTGCAATGGAGATTAATCAAATCGGTTTTAACTGCCTCGACCAACACTTTCTAGGTTCATTATCAAATGATAGTATTTAGAACAATTATTATAGCTTATAAAAAAAATGATGATATGAGAAAGTAGGTAAATTAAGTTGGCATGGTGCTATGACCATATAATACACTACGACAAGAGAGTAGTTCATACAGTTTTTTCCATTGATTAATTTTTTAGGATTCATTTGAAAGTATTCATTGTATAATCTTTTAAAAATAATTTCATTTACAAAAAATCAAATAAAAATTAATATTTTTTCTCCCTTTCCGTATATCCAAAGCAAATATAGCTCTTGTTTGTGCCTTCAGCTTTGCCGAAAGGCACCAATTTGCTCTAAACGCCATTAAATTACTTTCCGAAATCCCCTGAAAACGAGAACCGCGGCGGCCGATTCGGCAATTCAGTGATCACTGGGTTCTCTCTCGCCATCGTTGTCAACCGATGCGGCGGTGAACCGTATAGGACGGATGTTTCAAGCACCTGTTGGCGAGGTGTTGTTGGAACAATTTTTGGGCGTGTAATGCGGTTAGGTATAAGCCAGCCGCCAGGAAAACAGTGATCAATGTCAACACTCCAGCCGCACAAAACAACCTTCTCTGATAATGAGACAACCGTCTCTTGGTCTCGACCAGTTTGCTCAAATGTCCCGATTCCACGCTTAGCCCTATCAACAATAAATCTCCCCCACTGCAAAGCAAAGCCTGTAAACAAATCAATGAAAACTCAATTGCTTTGCCTTTTACTTGATATTCTGATTTTACAGCCGTTGACATTTAGGTTATGTGATTGTAGACATTTATTCCTTTAAATTAGTCGATAATTTTATAATGGATGATTATTTAAGAAAATAGACATTATTTTTCTTTTTTCGAAAATAAAGAGAAAAAAGAGTATAATAATCTTATAACAAATTACTTATTTAAAATGATAGACAATATTATTCGTTTTCAAAATGAAGAGAGAAAAAAATATAGATATAATAATTTTATAGCGGCTAGCCGATTTAAGATAACATACAATATTCTTCTTTTTCAGAAGGAAGAGAGTATAACAACAACCATGGTAGAAAAGCATCTCGGTAAAGACACGAAAATGGTTTTTTTTAATGAATTCATAAGCATCTTCGGAAAGAGAATCCTCCAAAGACCAAAAGGCAGAAAAAATTAACTTGGAGTGATGCAAATGAAGGGGGCAGTGAAACCCAGAATTGAAAAGTGAATTTCTATTGAGATCAGCTTAGAATAGTTTTATGTTTCAAGATCCTTACCAAGTGGTGACAAAGAAAAACGCATCCTGCCATGTGAGACTCTTGAAACGAGCAGAATCAATGTCCCAAGAAACCAGGCCCGCCGCCGCAGGCGATTTACTCACCGCAATCAACATGTACATATGCTCCACCAACATCACAGCCGCGAGTCCCACGAACGCCACGGCGGAGCACAACAACGGCGTCTTTCCGCTGCCACTGTAAACACATTGGTATCTCACGCCTTTCCCATCATCCTCAGTCTCCACCCACTTCTCCTGAGCCACCAGTGACTTGGCTATGAGGCAAAGGATGAAGCAAAAGAGGCCACAGATTACGGTGAAGACTATGAAAACGACGCCGGTCTTGCTGCCCAATTCAGTGCTTTTACGACTTGGTGCGAGATTGGCATGCGTGACGGCCACTGTTTTAGGCATTTTTGGAGGTCTGAAAACAAAGGGTATTGTATGAAAGAGTCCATGGGGGCCGGGGGGCCGGGGGAGTTGATTAATTTAAATGGTTTGGGGGAATTATTGAATTGCTTCCAACAAAGGTTGCTTAAAGGCCAAAAATTCCTAATGGCTTCTCATCTTTTATTGTATGAAGTGATTAACTCAAACATAGAAACGAGAATAATTATGACGAAATAGGACTAGTTTTGTTTGAATGCTCGGGAAACATTTCGAATACTCGAATTCCTTTAGAAAGTTAGTATATTTGAAAATATAGATTCAGTCCGGATATATCCTTTGGGAGTGCCGAGACACTTAAAACTGACTAACTAAGGCCGATGTTTGACACTCGCAAGGAATAGGTTAGTTGAAGGTATGGTGTCCGATGCAGAGATTCCGGGGGCCATATCCTCGATAAACTAGAGGGGTGTGTGAGCTCCTTTAGAAAGTTAGTATATTTGAAAATATAGATTCAGTCCGGATATATCCTTTGGGAGTGCCGGACACTTAAACTGACTAACTAAGGCCGATGTTTGACACTCGCAAGGAATAGGTTAGTTGAAGGTATGGTGTCCGATGCAGAGATTCCGGGGGCCATATCCTCGATAAACTAGAGGGGTGTGTGAGCTCCAAGATGCAACTCCTCAGCCGCACCATGATGTCTATCATAGAGTAGAGAGTAATTATACAAGTAAACTTACTAAAGCAGAGTAGAACAGTAGTCTTGATAGCTTAAGCCTTTCAGTGATATACAATTAGTATGTTTTAGCTGCTAGTGTGACGCTGAGCTAGTTAGCTCAATCTTCGGATGTTTCCGTGAGCAGGTTAGTAGATTCAATAGTTGAGGAGCAGAAGAGTGATCGAGGTCCAGATCAGATCGGTGCAGATCAAAAACGTCTCAACATTTTAAAGGGCTGTATATTTGTAACAATGTTGTCTAGTAGAGTGGTTTGTATTTGAAGTGTAATATTTTATTTGGAGCTCTTCAGTGTAAAGTTTTATTATGTTATATTTTATATTTTATAGATGTTTTTTTATGGAAATAATTTTTAAAGTAGTCGTTTTAAATCGTCAGAAAATAAAAAAAGTTGATTACTCACTTCGTTGGTTCCGTGTAGTCCAAACCAGTCGAGGATGTGTCATTCATGATTAGGGTGTTACAATACAAGCAAACACCTTGGTGCTTCCACTATTCTCCAGTCAGAGCTTTGGGGAATTTTCGAAGGCCTTCGAATGGCGTGGGACCGCCGTGTATCGAAGCTGGAAATTCAATCTGATAGCCTGCAGGCTGTACGACTCATTGAAGATGCGGATGCTTCAGGTACTTTTCTCCCTAGTTCGTGCCATTGCTTCCTGGAGAAACCAAGCTTGGGATGCGTGTTCGACGGATTCCCCAGTCTGATAACTGTGTTGCCGATGCGTTTACCAAACTGGCTCCTCCAAGTCTAGTTGATATCACCTTCTTTGACGTTGCTTCTATTGGCATTCGAAGTCTGGTTGTAGCCGATGCACACTGCCCTCCCCATCCTCCAGCAGCTGTTAGCTAGTCCACTTTACCACTCTCAATTCAAAAAAAAAAAAAAAAACCTTAGGAAAATTAAACTTTTTCCTCTCAATCTTTAAATTTAATAGGGTATCTAATAAGTCCACGTTGTTTTAAATTTATGTAATTTATTCTTCTTAATATTTGATCTTAACTTTATCCGTGTTGTATTGAATTTTCTATGTTTATAACAAACCAAATTATGATCGATATATTTGAACAAAAAAATTATGATTGATATAAAGAAGACTAATATTTTAAAGATATATGATGAAAATTATCGGAACAATGTATCTTGAATTTATTAAAGGAATAATTTGATGAAAGTGCTCATTAGAAATAATGTTTCACCGTACAAAGGACTCGAATTCCGTATGCAAAGAGAGATTCGAGATGGTGCTCTTTCTTCTTCTTCTTCTTTTTTTTTTTTAGCAATAGATCACTTTCACTTGTGATCTAATAGAATAATTCTAAATCATCCTCTCATTTTCCATCAAAAAATAAATAAAAGTTTTATTTTCTTGCCAACCAAACGCCACTTACATTCATCATAAACCCTATATATTGAAAAAATAGAAAACAAATTAACCCACAACTACTATACTATTTTCAAGTGATTTTGTATTTCTTTTTGTGTATATAATGAAATCAACAAGGTCCTTATATAGGCACTAGGTACTACTCTTCCAAAAACAAAAATAAATCTATTAAAACTCATAAAAGACATAACTCCTATATCACCGCTTGCCTTTCACCTACTAAAACTCATAGACCTTTATTTTCCCATTAACTTCTAAATTTAAAGAAAAACATTAAGGATTACATTTAAGTTTATTCAACAAAACTCCCCCTAAACTTAAATGTTTCTACCATCCATCATGCCAATCATCTTCTTGCATTGTCAAGAGTACTTTCGGTAGCGGTTTTGTGAAGATATCCGCAACTTGATCCTGACTTGCCACATGCACCAATTCCACACTTCCTTCCTTCACATGATCTCGGATAAAGTGAAAACGAACATCGATGTGTTTGCTTCTTTCATGGTTCACTGGGTTTTGCCAACTCAATTGCTGATTTGTTGTCAACATGAATCACAGTTACACCTAGTTGCTTTAGCTCCATCTTGCTCAACAAATTTCTAAGCCATATCACATGATATACACACCAAGATGCTGCCACATATTCTGCTTCACACGTCGAGAGCGTCACGATCGGCTGCTTCTTTGAAAGCCAAGTAAACGAAGTATCTCCCATAAAAAACACATATCCCGATGTGCTTTTCCGATCGTCTATGTCTCTGCACCAATCGCTGTCGGAGTACCCAACCAATTTGTAATCTTCTGCTTTCGAGTAGAACAACCCGAGTGAAACTGTTCCTTGGATGTATCGTAGGATTCGCTTCAATGCCTTCCAATGTGAATAAACCGGCTCCTCCATGAACCGACTTGCAATGCCGACACTTAACGAAAGATCCGACCTTGTGCATGTGAGATATCGAAGGCTTCCTACCAAACTCCGGTATCTACTCGCATCAACACGTTCCCCTCCATCGAACTTTGATAATTTTGCACTTGGTTCCATTGGTGTTGATACCGGGTTGCAATTTTCCATATTGTATTCTTCAAATCTCTTTGCATATGTCTCATGCGATACAAAAATACTTGTCTCTACTTGTCTAACCTCCAAACCAAGAAAAACTCATTAAGCCCAAATCTGTCATCTCAAATTCCCGTGTCATTGTGCCCTTAAACTCTTCTATCATCTCATCATTGTTACCCATAAAAATGAGATCATCAACATAAAGAGCAAAAAACACGTTACCTCCATTATTCTTTGCGTAAAGGGCATGCTCGTAGGGACATTTCTTGAACCGTTCTCCATGAATATGTATCGATACGTGTATTCCATGCCCGTGGTGCTTGCTTCAACCCGTAAAGAGCCTTCTTCAATTTTAACACCTTTTATCTTCTTCGACTTTTACGTACCCGGGTGGTGTTCGATGTAGATATCTTCTTCAAGCACACCATTCAAGAATGCCGACTTGACATCCATTTGAAATATCGGCCATTTGAATAGAGCAGCTTGTGAAATGAGTAATCGAATTGTCTCCATTCTTGCAACAGGAGCAAACACCTCGTCATAGTCGATTCCTGCCTTTTGCTTGTATCCTTTCGCAACAAGTCGCGCTTTGTATCGTTCTATCTCGCCTTGAGCATTCATCTTTTTCTTGAACACCACTCACACCAATGTTGACTTCCTTTCGGCAATTCTGTTAGCTCCCATGTGTTGTTACGGTCAATCGCTTCAATCTCGTCATGGCAGTTCGCCACTTCTTGTCTCGCAACGCCTCTTCAAAGCTGATATTTTCAGCATCTGGCAAAAGACATACAAGGTTTACTTCATTTGTCGAATCATACAAATCTTGTAAACTTTGTATTTTGGGTTATCTTGGTTCATCTTCATCGGTAGTTTCAGAGTTTGTTGGTATGCTTTTTGGTGAAACGATTGATGATCTCCAACTTCGATGATAGCCTCTGTCGAATTGTTCCAGTCCCACTCGCTTGCTTCGTTATTCGCACATCACGACTCACCATCACCTTCTTGCTTATCGGATCGAATAGCTTGTACCCTTTTGTCTTCTCATCATACCCAATAAAATATACTTTTACTTTTGTCTTCGAGCTTCGTTCTTCGTTGATCCGGTACGTGTGCATAAGCAACACTACTGAACACTTTGAGATGAGAAACTGTCGGCTTTTGTCCGCTCCTGCCTTGTGTGTTGATCATCTAACTTTACATGTGGACATCGATTTTGTACATAGATGGCACATTGCACGGCTTCTGCCCAGAATTCCTTCGGCATCTTCTTGCTCTTGAGCATTGATCGAACCATGTCGAGAATGGTCCGGTTCTTCCTCTCGGCCACACCGTTTTGTTGAGGAGAGTATGGTGCAGTTAGAAATCTCCTTATGCCTTGCTCCTCGCAATACTCCATGAAAGCTGTCGAAGTATACTCGCCACCTCTATCGGATCGTACGACTTTGATGTGTCTACCAGTTGCCTTCTCCACCATCACTTTGAACTTTTTGAACACCTCAAATGCCTCGGATTTTCTTTCAAAAAATGAACCTAAGTTTTTCGTGAGAAATCATCGATAAAGGAAATGAAATACCTTTTACTGTTGAAAGATTCGGGGGTGATTGGTCCACATATGTCGGTATGAATCAACTCGAGAGGTGTTTAGCTCGATTCTGCCTTCTTTTGAAACGAGGTTCTCGATTGCTTGCCAAGCACACATTCTTCACAAAATTTGCCCTCATAATCTATATCCGGCAGCCCGTGCACTATGTTCTTCTTTGCTAACTCTTTTAGACCACCATGATGTAAGTGACCAAAGCGAAGATGCCACAGTGATGCTTTGTCTTCTATGTCGATTTGCAAACATTTTTCTCGCACGCTTCTCAAATTTAGTTTGTACATCCGATTTTGCCCATCTCGACTCGAGCAACTATACGCCCTTGCTTGTCCTTCAAGTGTAGTATACGATCTTTCAAAAGTGTCGAGTAACCTTTCTCCGTGAGTTGCCCTATACTCAAAATGTTTGTCTTGAGATCTGGTACATAAAAAACATCTTGGATTGACCCTATCAAGCCATCCTTTGTAAGTAACAAATCGTACCTCGGCCTTTGACCTCCACTTTTGATGCATCTCCAAAAGACACATGACCATCTTCAATCTTTTTCATCTCTTTGAATAGGTACTTGTGACCCACATATGGTTGCTTGCGCCCGAGTCGAGGTACCACAGAGTGTCATTGTTGATGTTGAATTCATTTTGAGCCATCAAGAGAAAGCATCATTCGCTTCATCTTCCAAGGCTAGGTTGATTGTTTCTTCCACCTTTTTATCGGCTCGACAATCTTTTGCAAAATGCCCCACTTTACCACAGTTATAACATTTGTCAGAGTTGCAATCCTTCGCGTAGTGACCATACTTGTAACACTTGTAGCACTCGATATTGGAATAATTTGATCGGCCGCCTCTTCCTCGTCCGCGTCCTCTCCACGCCAATTTGGTTGGCTTGACTGTCCATTCTCCTTATAGTACCCTTCATGACTGTCGCCTTGACCACCGCGACCATATCCACGACCTCCACGGCCACGACCTTTACCTCGAAAATTTTGAGAAAAAATACCTTTTCGTCTTTGATTAACGCCTTGGTTTGAAGTGCTTGCTCAAGTGTCTCCTCCTTTTTTTTCTTTTTACGTTGTTCGTGTGCCTCGAGTGAACCAGTAAGCTCGTTGACTGTGAGTGTCACAAGGTCTTTTGACTCTTCTATTGCACACACAACATTCTCAAAATTGTCGGTTAATGATCTCAAAATCTTCTCCACAACTCGTGCCTCGGTTAACGCTTCGCCATTACGATTGAGTTGGTTCACCACGGTTTGTACACGTGTGATGTAGTCGGATACACTTTCCAACTCCTTCATCTTTATGCTTTCCAACTCGCCACGAAGAGTTTGGAGACGCACTTGCTTGACTCGGTCGGCTCCTTTGAACACTTTTCCTAAAATGTCCCACGCTTCTTTTGAAGTAGCTGCACCAGCAATCTTCTCAAAAGCCCGACTCGTCAACGGCTCGGAATAACATGTATAGTGCCGCCTTATCCTTCAATCGCGCCTCTTTCAACGCCTTGGTTTGAGCCGCCGTATATCCCGTGGTTGTTGTTGGTTCTGCGAAACCTTCTTCGACCACCTCCCATGCATCTTGAGATCCGAGAAGAGCTTTCATTTGAATGCTCCAGTTCTCGTAGTTCGCCTTCGTTAGTCGTGGTAGCGACATTTGACCCGTCACATTTGCCATTGACTCTGATGTCAATTTGAGAAAATAGAAAACAAATTAACCCACAACTACTATACTATTTTCAAGTGATTTTGTATTTCTTTTTGTTGTATATAAATGAAATCAACAAGGTCCTTTATATAGGCACTAGGTACTACTCTTCCAAAAACAAAAAATAAATTCTATTAAAACTCATAAAAGACAATTAACTCCTATATCACCGCTTGGCCTTTCACCTACTAAAACTCATAGACCTTTTATTTTCCCATTAACTTCTAAATTTAAAGAAAAACATTAAGGATTACATTTAAGTTTATTCAACATATATAGAGACGAACTTATAAAATTTTAGGAGAGATAAACTTATAAAATTATATGAAACGAAAATATATTATCAATAAAAAATATAAAATATATGATGATTTAAAATTCTCAAGAGTGATTGTTCTCCTCTCGCCCCACTCGGTTCATCCTTGCCTATATATATACCAATGCCTAGTGAGCACAATCAAAGCACCTCACAATCTCAACAAACAACCTCAAGTACTATAATAGTAACCCTTTCACTTGGAAAACCCTAGCGGCATCCGATTTCCACATTATCACATGGAGAGAGTGACAAAGTTGGCATCCGAGAAGCCGGTGGTGATCTTCACCAATAGTTCGTGTTGCATGTCCCACACCATCAAAACCCTTTTCTACAACTTCGGAGTATGAGATCCCTAGAGGACACGAAGTCGAGCAAGCTCTCTCGAGACTTGGTCGCAATCCTTCTGTTCCGGCAGTCTCCATTGACGGTGAACTTGTTGGTGGAGCCAACCAGATCACGAGTCTTCATCTTAATCGATCCTTAATCCCAATGCTTAAACTAGTAGGAGCCCTTAGGGTTTAATATATAAACTGTCACGTAAGCTTCTCTAGTGAAGTACAAATTATGGTTTTTGAGTAATAAAAGTTTGGAATTACACTAATACATTATATTATTTTCTTTTTTTATTTAAAATAAACCAAAAACTCATCTCAATTTGTTGAGATTTAATAATTTCAGAAATGAATTTAAAAACAACATTATCTTTTATATCAAACTATTGCATTTGCACAACACAAAAACTTGTTTTTGAACAAGAAAAAGGAACCTTGGCTAATAGGAAAGAGGTAGAACTGATTTGTCTGTTCATGTACGTTTTATAATTTATGTTTTCGTTATCAGAATTAAGTTATGGATAGGTAGCCTTCTCACAATTTTTTGGTTTTAATTACATCAATATTTTTAATTTAAAACTTGATCAACTAAATATTTTTTTATATTTAAATACCTTTTAAGTCTCCATCAAATTTAAAATTAGTAAAAATATTAGCCCTTCATTTTTCTATTCAAATACTTCTTAGGTTCTTGTCAATTTTAAAATAGAACAAATTTATCTTCCATCCTTTTTTAAATATTTCATAAATGTTTATAAATTTTGAAATTAAACCTTGATTATTTAATTCTTAGATTTTAAATTAATGTCCCTGAAAAATATTCCTTTAATCCTGATGAACCTATTTTATTAGCCTTTAGACCTAAAATCGATCATCAATTACCACAAAATTCTCAAAAGGGTTAAGATAGAAAACAACTTTGTTGCACTAGTGAGAACATTATGGCAAATGAACCTATATAAATGCTCAGAATCATATACTTGGATGGACAAAATCGCAAGGGATGGGTGAGAAAGGGTCGTAAGTACTTTTTCGTTTTTTATATTCTTGAAAATCATAAGATGGAATTAGCCTAAATTTATTTAGCAGGAAGGGTTGAGACATGATTTGATGGTTATACTGAGTAAAAACATAAGGTTCATTGGCGCAAGTTTGCTGCAAATAGTTACCATTAGGACTAAATAAGATGAGATAGATTGTGAGTTATTCGAGATCAACTTGATCAAAGTTTGATCAACAGTCGAATCAAATGAACTCGGCTAGAGTTCTTAAAGAGTCAAAGTGGGCAACTAAAAAAATATATTAAAATTTTAAATTAAATTATTAATAATATTGACATTTATATGTTATTTAAAAAAATATAATATACGGCTTTCATGTACTTAAGGTTGAAGTTCGAGCTCAAGTTTGAACTTCAATTGAGCTAAGTTTGAGAATGTTTTGAGTTCAAGCTTTTCGAGCTCGAGTTGAGCTTGAAAATTTTAAATTCACAAGCTTTCGAGTCGATTCGAACTTTAATTTTAATTTTAAACTCGTGAGTTTTCTAATCGAGTCAAACTCAGCAATACTCAAACTCGACTTGGCTTGTTTATAGTCCTTTGCCATGACTTCTGTGACAATAATTGCACATACATCATTGAAGAGTTTAACAAATTAGTGCAAAAGAGTTCGGTAGATGAGTATCATGAGAGTTTAACGAACTTAAATCTTATGGTGCGTTCGGATGGGGAAAAAAGATTACCTGGGGTAAAACTTTTTCCAGATTGTAATACCCATGTTTGGATTGCAAAAATTCTCAATACGAGATAATAAGTCATTTCCAACAGTGACATTTTGGGGTGTTTTATTGAGAATGGCATTCCCCCAATTACCTAGGTATTTGTCATTTCTCATGGTTGTGGACTAAAATGTCCTTAAAACAATTTTTTTTCGAAAATATCCTTCTCCTATCGTTGAATAAAAAATATTTTCTATGAAGGGTAAATTACATATTTATCCTTAAACTGTTTTAAACTTACAAAAAAATCCAACAATTAGAATTTTATATGAAACTCAGGGATTAAAATAAAATTAAATCCTTTCATTAAACCCAATTATCTTTTAAAATTTATAAATTTAAATTTTTATAAAGAAAATATATAAATTAAAAATAATAAAATTATATATTTTTTATGATCTTTTATACAAATATTTTCATTTGAATATTTAGAATTCAACTTGTTAAAAACAAATATATAACAAGGACAATTTGACAAAATATATATTCCAGTAATATTTTATTCCTTTAACCAAATACTGTAATCTTATATTCTTGCTATACAAACCAAGCACAACAATGCAACATTCCCATTAATGTGTCAGGTAATGTTACATTCCGAATCCTATTCCCAGAAGTAATGCTACATTCTATGAACCAAACGTACACTATATGTTACAATATAATCTTTACTTCGAAGAGGGTTATTTTGTTTCCAACTTTACGAGTGGTCTGAAAGAAGAAATTAAGCATAAGGTCAAGGTGCATGAACCACAATCCTTGACTGTTGTTTATAGGCTTGCCAAACTCTATGAATTAAATTGGTAAATGGAAAACAAAAGCTTCAGACATCAACCTAGAACCACTATGACAATATGTCAAAACCTTTCCTTCAAGGCTCCTGCTACAATCCTGAAAGGGAGTCGTAATTCACCCCAAAGTAGGCAGAATTTGATGGAATATATGCAAGCATAAACAATTAAATGCCATGGAGAAAATATAAGAAAAAGAAGAAGTTGAAGAAGCAGAAGAGGAACAATGTGAAAAAAGATTAAACATTACCTGCTGAATGAGGGTTGGAGATTTCTTTGACATGCAATATTGGGTTTAGTAAGGAAAAGGTTCTATTAAAAGGAAACCCCTTGACTATCCTGATTGACAGTGTTGGTACTCATAATTTTATCACTGTAGAATTGGAACATACTACTCCTTTAACCATCACAGACCAATGAGAGAAGCTTTACAGTATGACAGAGAGTAAACAAACTAAGTGGGCTATGTAAGGTTTCTAATTTGTGTATGTTTACCCATGGGAGGTGGTGATATTTCTTAGGAGTGAAGTGGATGAAAAAAATATAATCCATTGGTAATGGATTTCAATGGTATGACCCTAAGTTTTAACGAGGTCAAGAGATGACCTTAAAAGGGATAAAATTTACCTATATTGAAGTTCATATCAGGTAATAGAATCTAGAAGATAATGGAAAAGGATCATGAGCTATTGGGAGAAATTTTACATGTTAAGTGGCAAAGTGTGTAAAGCAGTGATACCTAAGAATATACAAAGGGTGATGCTAAATTATCCCATGCTTTTTGAAGAACCAAAAGGAATGCCCATGAAAAGAAAACATGACCATGCTATCACACTAAAATCAAGAGCAGAAGCAATAAACTTTTTTTTTTAAATAGAAACAATAAACTTAAGTTGGTATAGAAGGCCCTACCACCAGAAAATATAAATAGAAAGGTAAGTAGATGAAATGCTTTCCTCGTATATCATACAAACTAGAAGAAGCCTTTTGCTTCACTTTATGTCACTTTACTGAGAGAAATCTGGCTTACTTACGCATTTATGGTCTCCAACATTTTTGTTTTTCTTGAAGTACCTGTTTTCAATGATAAGGGTGTGGGAATGTGATCTTCCGATGACTTTTCAAATGCAAAGTCTTGAAAAGAAGTTTAATGTGCCCGGTCCGACGCCCACACCTGAGTCGAAAGTAACATATATAGCAGTGCAGCACAAGACTAATTTCTTATGCAAGAAGCTTCTGATAAATGAATCGTTCTGCGGAACTGTATCGGGGAACAAGACCATCGCCAAGACCCAATCATGTAGCAGATCCATACGAGGATAAAACTCTTTTCGTCTTTGGTGGAGCATTGAATGACTTGTACTCGCTTGACTTCGAAACGGCGAGTAAAACTTCAGATTTATTTAAGTATTTGATGCTGAAATGTTTGCAGGAAACAGACTTTTGTCTATGAAGTGCTAAAGTCCGAGTGGTCCCCGGCCATTGCGGTACTTCCGTCGTCAATCACCACTAACAAGGTGAACATAATTTTAATACCCTCATACTGCATGATTCTCAAAGACCAAGTGGTCATAAGATGGATGTTCTTGCAGGGATTTAGCCTAGTACTCGTGCAGAACACGGATAAGGATTTTCTTGTCGCATTTGGTGGATTAAAAAGGATCCATCAAATCAGGTTGAAGTACTGATCATTGAGAAGAATGAATCCTCCACTGGACGATGATCTACTCAGTAAATCTGCAGCACAAATGCAGTTTGCGAAGCATTCATCATCAGCATGGCCAGCCAACCATATGATTAACGGTTCTTCCCAATGTTCCAATGATTCTGCTGTTAAACAAAATTTAGCCTCTATAATCAAACACCGTTCTGGTAGGAAATCATTGTCAGAGTCGACAATTTTGGATCAAAATATTATTTCCAAAAACGTCTGACTACCTAAGCAATTTCGTAACGCGGAAGAACATGATCCGGTACATGATCCTCCATACGATAAATAGTTGAATCCACCTGGAACCGAGCCTTTTTCCACTGAACTAAGCATGTAATCACTTGCTCCTATTAACAATTCAAATTCAATCATATCAATTAACGAGGGAAGCAAAATTATAGGAACTCTTATCGTAACAATGAATTTGATTCAATATACAAGCCAACTACCGAACAATGATTTCAAACTTCTGTTCAAATTTCAACCGCACGTTGATTTCTGGTATCCAGTATCCTCATTCTAAATTTGCTGGTGCAGAGTATGGAGCCGGGAGCCTCACCTTGGTTCATCATCGGGTTTTATTCTCGAAAATATCGATAATGCTCAAGTGGTTTGATAACCATTGAAGACATTGGTTACAAATTCTATAAAAGCTCGGTCTCTTCTTGTTCTGCATCTGCATCTTCAACCTCATTTTCTTCCTCTTCTTCAGGTGCATCGGGATCCACCCCCTACAAGAAATCACTAGTTAGTGTTTTGCATATAGAAGATCAAAGGAAAGAGAACATTGGAAAGCAGAAGAACAAGACGGACCTTCATCTGTTTTTCCAGGCGTTCTAGACCCTTTTTTGCAGCTTCATTCTGAGGATTTATTCTGGAAAATGGAAATACATTAATCGGATCCATTGAAGAGGGAATACCGGTCTTCTCAGTCACGGTATTTCGACACAAAAAGCTTCTTTAATGATCATTCAAAACGAAAATCCGAGAATATAAACTGACCTCAATGCAGATTGATAATGTGACAAAGAGTCTGGAAACATATTTGTATCAGCAAATACTTGAGCCAATTTGACATGAAGAGAGTCATCAACCCAATCTTTGAGACAACGCTCGAGAAGAGATACAGCATCTCCATTCCGGCCCTCAAGAACATGGAGCTCGGCTAAAGCTAATGCAGCTCCAAGGTAACCAGGTTCAAGCCTAAGGGCTGATTCATAGAATTTTTTTGCCTGTAACAAGATTGGATTAAAGTAAAACTTGTCAAAACTGACTTTCAAAATACCGAGCCGAATTCTACTGGTTCAGATCGGTTTAGTTAATCAAATTTTTAAGTTATTTTCATCAATTTTGAATATTAATATTTATTATATAATATAAAAAACCAAAAAACTATTTCTAAATTAAATAAAAGATAGAATTCAATTTGAATAATTGTGATTTTTAACTTGTGAACTAAAAACCGAATATATTTAAGCACGAATTGACCGAGTTTAATAAAACCAAACTAAACAGTACGGTTCAAATCTGTTTTTGCAACTTTTTGGCTCAGTCCTACCTTCTCCCTACCACCGGAATTGCTGGCATGAACATCACCAACTAATTTCAGAGCCTTTGCAGACTGAGGCATGGCCTTCATCGCCTCTCTAGCAGCATAGAGGGCCTCCTTGACTTTAGAAAATGCCAGATAGGACTGAACTAAACCTGAAATTATAAAAGTCAAAAGGTTTGCAATGCCCCATAAACTCGAGATTCATTCTTTCTTACTATATAACTACATAAAAAATTAGAACAGTGAAAGATGAAGCTTATGCAGCTGAATAGTGAATTTGCACATTCTTTTTTCTCCATAAAACTCAAACCTTGATAAGAACGGAGATCAGCTCTCAATTCTTGAGCTCCCCTGAAGGCCATTACAGCAGCTTCTGGCCTCTTCAATGACAAGAGCAAGTTTCCCTAACAGCATTCAGAAAATTGTAGCAAATGACAAAAATGAATTATATTTTCCCGGAAAAAGAAAACCAGTGGAAAAGCTATAACGAGGATAATAGTTAATCACCCATTCAGTTGGATGGAAAATATTTCAATACCTTCATTATGTAGCCGGGAATGTGCCTATCATCAATTTTGATGCTCTGGTTGTAAAGAGTGAATGGAAATGTCATATATAAATACTTAATGGAAGGTTACAGACTACAGAAGAAAAACAAGCTAACCTTTTCAGCATAAGATAGAGCATTTCTCTCATCTTTCTTTTGCCACAAAACCGATAAAGCCACGAAAACTTCCGGTCTTGTAAGATCAATGCTCAGCAAATCATGCACTAACTTGTTTAACTTTGAATAATCAGACTTCAGCTTTAGAAGCATGGCATACTCATCCATGTAAGTCACAATGTAAGGATCAATTGAGCGAACCTGCAAGGACAACAAACTTGGAATTTGTTAAGATTCATGATAGAAGTGTAAGTATGCATTGGCAGAAAAAGAATTAGCAATAATTCATGGATATAACAAGTTCTCAATACTATAAACACCTTCTCAAAATTCATTATTGCCTCATCAGTTTTTCCAATGATGGCTTCAACCTGCGCATACAAACAAGTAAGATAATTAAAAATCGAATGGTCTATATGCTTCAAACAACCTACGACTCACAAGATTTTAAGATTCATATATACTCTAAAGTCATCTCATTAGTTTTCTTTCCTACTAAGCAGACAAAGGAGCAAAAAAGCAAGTTACATTCGTCAGAATGCAACCACCACAGACCTTTGCCGTTTCAAGTAATATGTGAGTGTTATTAGGGAACCGTTGCAAAAGTTCTGCAAAGTGTTCCAAACCACCTGCAAAAAGATTTAATGGAAACAAGAATCTTTGTTGAAAGATATTGATAAAGCAGATAAGTTAACAAGATATATTACAATAAAAATCTTCAGCAAAGGAACACCTATAAAGAGATTATGATTTGAATTATGAAACTTTAAAATTTAAAAAGAAAATTAACTTACCTTTGTAATCATTTGAAGCAATGCAACATTGTGCCTCAACATACCGCTGCACAAATTCAACAATTTACTAAGAATGGCTATCAAAGTAGAAATTAGCACTGACTTAAGCAATGAAACAAAAACAATAAAGAAAGAGATAACAGCGAATGAACTGAGTGGATAATTATTTTCTAGGAAGCCCATGATCAAAGTTCCCAAAATGTTTATATTATTCATCAAGAATCATAAAGATGATCAGTAGATCATTATGGGGAAGAGTGTCCTCCATTTCATTTGTTCTTACTTGCAGCCAACGGCTTGAGTCACTATGATCAAAATGAGCCCTTCCACCTCGATTGGGAGTCTGGATTAATACAAATGGAAAACGACCATGTCAGATAACAAAGATATATATCATCCCAGAAAAGAAACCATACCAAAAAAGAATGCTATAGTAAACAAATTGAAGCTTATAACCAAAGGGATATAAAAAGGATTCAAGACAAAAGGAAACCTTCTGTCCAAGTTGTTTAGTGCACTAAACCTTGCAGCTCTCAAAGTTGAATACGTCCTCCATCCCAGTAAAGTTGTTACATTGACTTTCGATGGTCAAAAAGGTAAACTATGACATTTAATTGGGATAAAGGGGGCAACAAACTAGACTGCACTACAAATATATCTTAACCTTTCTTTATAAATGAGAAAAGAATTGACTCAATGACTATCCATGCAACTTGACCAATATATCAAATGTGAAAAACTTGAAGTTTACAAGTAAGACTAACAACAGCTTGCATGAGAATGACAAATCCATAAAAATACTGCCCCATTTTAAACTTTTGAACATGTCTAGATGGAGTAGAATGAAAATTGAATACCATCTCACAATAAGAGTTTTAAGCGAATTCAAAGGCATCCAACATCAAAGAAAAAACACATCTTTCATGCTTGTTTAGCAGACCAAAAATAAGGACAAGGAAGGCATAGAACTTAAATCTGACAAACCTGAGGAAACAATGAAATTATGTCCTTGGCACTGGCCCCTAATTCAGCCAAGGCTATGATGGCCTCAATGACGTAAGGGCATTGCCTGCAAAGAATAAACCAAAAGACAAAAGCTATCAGAAAGTTAGCACAACAAATTTTAATGAATTAACAGTAAAAAAAATAGAGAAAAGCAATAACTGTTACACACAGCATCCACAAAGTGTAAAGAAAGCATCAAGAAAATAGGAATGACAAATGGAACAGACCTTAAACATTCCCTGTAACAAGTAACTGCACCACGGGTACGTTTAGTATTCCGATAAAGCTTTGCCATTAATAAGCTCATCTGCAAATTTCTTGCTTTGCTAGGAATTCCCTCCATCTGCAAGTTCAAAGTAATGAAAAAAAGAAGCGTCCACAAAAAAATAGATTCCATATCAATGTTAAATAACAAATATTTATAACTCAAATTACAATCACCAAAACAAGTTAACAAAAATAATCAAACAGGGAGATGAAGTAAATTATAAATAAATAAAACCTCGACAAGGGCCACTTCGGTTTCACTTAGAGCAAAATGACAAGAGGCAATTTTGAACTTCACCTGTCATGTTGAACCAAACAAATCTCCAATAAGCATTTCAGCTTGCAAGAAAAAGAGAAGACCTCAAAGTTGATTGGAAGGAGAAAATACCTCATTTCATTTATTGCTGAAATGTTAAAAGAATTTGGAGATGAAGACCTGTTTGAGGCAGTCAATGAACTTCTAGAAGATGTTGAATTTTGCTTGGGAATAATCTTGTAATACTGCAAGGATTGCTTGTATGTATGCTGACAGCATATAGGAAAAAAGCAATAAAGCAAGTTAATTTTCCCTAATCTATTAGGCTCCCAAAATCAAATCATTTCATCCCATAAATCACATTCTCTAAATAAAATCCATTTAAAATAAAAATCGCATAACAGTTTCAATAAACTTTACAGGATAACTAAATGGAACTTGAGAAATCCAATACTCTTCCATTAGAAAACTATATACAAAGCTCAAAATTCCATTTTAGAAAGGAAAAAGTGTAATCAATAGCATAGATATCAGGATAAATTAAATGAAACTATTAAAAACTTAAAAATTAATCTGTAAAAACCCAGCAGAACATTTATATTTCATACTATTTTTTCAACTATGGAGAAGAAATTATGAAATTCTAACAATACAATTAACAAATTAAGTACTCAATACTCAAAAAGAGTGCCATTTATGTTCCTTTTTTTTTTGCTATAAATCACAAGAAAAAAGTTGTCCCAAAAATATAAACTTACGATTGCCCTACGGTACTCTCTCTCTCGAAACAAAGCTTCGCCAAGAAGTATCTGCAGAAATAAACATAAAAAAATATTATGAAAAGAATCCAGATAACATTTGGAAATCCGTTTTAAAAAAAAGCAAAAATAAGAATAAAATCGCGACCAGATTTTCAGCCTTGAGATGTGGACTAGTTTCAGCATTGACGGTAGATGATGAAACAAGAAAAGAACCCTATCGCAACCAAACAAAAATAATAATAATAACAAAAATCAATGCGAGAAAATTTAAGTTAGGTTAATTATAATCATAAACAATTAACAAATTAAAAACAAAAGATTACGAGAAGCTGAGCAGAATTAAAGAGAGCATTATCAAGAAGAGCAGTGATTTGGTCCTTTGGAAGGTCCATTTTTTGAGAGCAGCACACGCAGTAAGGCTTCTTGTTTTTGCTGTTTGGGGAGTTTTCTTCTCTTTTTCTTTTTGAAATGTCAAAATGAAATCTTTCAGGTATTAAATTGAAATTTAGCCCGAAACAAGCCCCCGCGGTCTTTTGAATTTGTAAACCCCGCTTTTGCCCCTGAAATGATAAAGGCGGTTTAACCTTTTCCACTCTCCAACTTTACAAATGTTCTCATTTTGACCTTTAAACTTGTATTATATCTCTTTTGATCTTCGAAATTTTTATTCGAATTGTTAAGTTGATTTCAATTATTTTATCTTTATTAAAATGTTAAGTTAATTATTTTTTTTCTATCACTTCATTAAAAAAAAAACTGGTGTTAACTAAAAGTTTGATCGTTTGTTATGCTAAATAAATTAGTATGAACAATCATTTGATGTTTATTTAATAAACGAACGAAAACGAACAAAGGGTGTGTTTGGTTCGTTTATGTTCATGAACAATCTCGTTTATAAGTTCGTTTATTGACTCGTTCATTTATATTCGTGAACATCTCATTTAGAAGCTCATTTACATAGTTCTCATTTTCATTCTTTTTACATTTTAAATATTGGTGGAGCTGGGAACTAATTGAACACATTGTGAATTTTTAAGTTTAAACTAAATTTTAAGGAGTTTTAACCACTAGTGGCTGAAAAACAAAAATGTAAAAATTAAAAATTGAACATATAAAGGAACATTAAACGAACATTAAAATGTACACTAAACGAACATGTTCGTGAACAATAAATAAACGAACATGAACTCATTCAAAATTAAATAAATGAACTCGGATGAAACAAAAATATATTTAAAAAAAATAAACAAACAAACATAAACACGCCTTTATTCATTCAAACTCATTTACGCCCATAATAATATTTAATTAGGTGTATTCATATGTTATTGAAAGTTACATGTATTTATGGGTGTGAACCTTTCTGTCTATTTTCTCGTTTTAAAGTTCTCACTGAAAATCTATTCATGAGAACGAACTTTTAAAGAAACTTCTTAAAAAGAAGACATTGGAAATTTATGTTAGGTGTACTGATTTCCCAAAAGAATTCATATTTTTTTAAAATATTTGTATCTATTATTTATCTGTAAGATATCTGCATTATCTCAATAATTTAGCCTATCATACTATTTCCATTTGAATTTAAATAAAATATTATTATCTATTGCATGTTCGAATACAAAAAGAATAAATTTTTTAAATATATATATATAAATATATAATATCTGATTCTTCAGAAATCTAAACCTGTTAAAATTCTAGAAGACCAAGGTGAGCGACTCCAAGTTAAAAGGGAAGGATTTAGTTTGGATAATCTGATTTCTTTAAGCTCAATTTTTAGGCATTTCCGTTTAGTTTATAATTAAGCGTTCGTTTATTGGGTGAAGAAGTCAATAATTAGAAATAAAAGGGACTGTATTGGACATTTCAAAAATCGTTTGTAGCCCAAAGTGTCAGAAACAAAAATTAAAAGGATGAAAAGTAAAAATGCCCATATTTCTTCCCGGTTAAAACAACTTATCGGTCTACCGCTACAAAGAAAAACCCTAAACACAGAGCAGAGTCTAAGAACAGAGCAAGCCAATATTCTGCTTAACTTCAAGATATGGGTAAGCTTTTTTCTTTATTTCTTCTTCCTTCATTGCTTAATCTTTCTATTTCCCACCCTTGCTTTTCACGTTATTTCAAAACCATTACTACCCTCATTGAAGCTTCAAGCAAGAATTCCATGTTTGTAAAGAAAAAGCTACAAAGGTATGACTACTTCGATAATGTTGACAAAGCTTTCACTTTGTTTCATAAGGCGATTCACAAGTATCCAAAGCCTTCCATTGTTGAATTCAACAAATTATTAGGAGCCGTTGTTAGAATGAAACGGTATGCCACAGTTGTTTCTCTGTATCGCTTGGTGGAATTATTAGGAGTTCCCCCTGATGTTTATTCTTTCAACGTCTTCATTAATTGCTTTTGTCAATTAGGTAAAATTGATTTCGGGTTTTCTGTTTTGGGGAAAATGTTCAAGTTAGGTTTTGAACCTGATGTTGTGACTTTTAACACTTTGATTAAAGGACTTTGTAAGCAAATAAAGATTTCTCAAGCTGTGTGTTTGCTTTATAAAATGCTTGAAAGAGGTTTAGAACCTAATATTGTAGCATATAACACTGTCATTGACCTTCTTTGTAAGAATGGCTTGCTAGAGGAGGCTCTCAATTTCTTCTTTGAAATGGAGGTTAAGGATATTAGACCAAATACTGTTACTTACAGCTGCTTAATTCATGCTATGTGTAAGAAGGGGATGGTTTCCAAAGCTGAATATATCGTTGACACAATGAGAAAGCAAGGCATTAAGCTTGATGTTGTCTTGTATAGCATATTGATTGATGCACTTTGCAAGAAGGGGATGGTTTCCAAAGCTGAAGATGTCTTTGACACAATGGGAAAGCAAGGTATTGAGCCTAATGTTCTAACATATGCTATACTAGTGGATGGCCATTGCAAGGAGGGATCGATTTATAAAGCTAAAGTTATTGTTCACACAATGATAAATTGAGGCATTGAGCCTAATATTGTCACATGCAGCGCTCTTATGCAAGGCATGTATCAATTAGGGAGAGTTTCTATGGCATGTGAAATTTGGAGATTATGCAAGGCATGTATCAATTAGGGAGAGTTTCTATGGCATGTGAAATTTGGAGAATGACTTTTGGACCATTTCCAGACCTAGTGACTCATTCGATTCTGCTAGATGGTTGCTTCAAAAATGATAGACTTGAAGAGGCTTTGAAATTTTTTGGAGGAATGCAGAACAGTGGGTTGGAACTCAAAATTGTCTGTTATAATATCCTAATTGACGGCTTGTGCAAAGCTGGCCGTATCGAAGCTGCAAAGGAATTATTTCTTGAACTCTCATTCAATGGTTTTAAACCTGATGTTTGCACATATGTTATAATAATTAATGGTTTCTGTAAAGAGGGATTGCCAGATGCAGCATACCAGTTGTTGAGCATGGGAGATAATGATGGTTTGCCTAATAGCTGATGTTATAATGTGATGATCCGGCTGTTTCTTCAAAACAACTACACCTCAAAGGCAACACACCTTCTAACTGAAATGGTCAGTAAGGGTTTTTCTGTAGATCTATGGACTGCCACCTTATTTGTGGATCTCATCTTACGATTTGGCAGATGGACGCTAATATGAATGTTTCCAGAGTGTAAAGATAGTCGGTTGTGAATGTGAAGCACTTTGTTCATACTGCTGGGATAAGTCATGTTTCAGTTTAATTTATATTGTGCCTTGCTTTATGTGATGTTTGAATACCTGCAATGAAGGGTCATAAGAAATAACCTAAATCCCCTGGAGCAGGCTGTCTACATAGATTCTGCAAGTTTGAATTTTTCCACTTTGAATTATAACCTGATGTTGGGCCTTTAATTTAGCTGCTGTTATTCAGGAATTTGGCACCGTGTAAGAATGGCTACTGTTTATTTGATTGTTTGGAAGGAAGTCTTATCTAATCTTGACATGAAAGATTCGTGAATTTTGTATCATATCTGTTGGAATTATAGAGATATGATTTGTTATGATTTGATACCATTCCTTTAATTAAGGGATTTTGTACATATATTTATACAATCCCTTATTTTAAGGGATCACATCCTAAGATTAATATTTTTCCTTTCTTAAGTGTTTCTTACTTTAGAGAGATAATTTGTATATAAATATGTAATCTATCCTATTGAAAATAATATGAAAATACAGAGAATTACTCTGATTTCTACATGGTATCAGATTAGGTCACGATCTCTTTCCAACCTAGACGATGTCCACAACTTCTTCTCCTACTCTGGAGATCACTTCGAATCCAGAAAATTTTTCTAGTTCTACTGCTCAATCAGAAGGTAATCTGGTCATGAAAGAACCAGAAGGTAAATCTCATGCTACAGTTTTTTTCTCCTCCCAGTCGACCCCTAATTGGATCCTTGATTCTGGTGCTACGGATCATATAACTGGTAATAAGGATTTGTTTTGTAATTTTTTTCCAAATTTTGGTAAAGCTGTCAAAACGACTGATGGTTCTTTGTGCAAAATAGAAGGACACAACACTATTATTCTCAATGACCAGATTGTACTTAAAAATGTCCTCTTCGTACCAATTCTGGCTTGCAATCTCGTTTCCGTTAGTAAATTTTCCACCGACTTGCACTGCTCTGCAATCTTTAATGATATTGATTGTACTTTGCAGGCACTGAACTCGAAGAAGATGATTGGTAAGGTCAGCTTGCAGAATGGTCTCTATATTCTTCCTGTCTCTACTAAAACTGAAATCTCGAAATCTTTCACCGCTTTAGAAAAAGTTGATAATGTTATGTTATGGCATTATCGTTTAGGTCATCCTAGTTTTCACTATCTTGCAAAAGTTTTCCTGCTCTATTCATTCATAAAAGGTCAAATTCTTTTTCTTGCAAAGTTTGCTCTCTTGTCAAACATACTAAATCAACTTATTCTCCTTCTACATATAAGCCTTCTCACCCTTTTGCTTTGATCCACAGTGATATTTGGGGCCCTTCTCGGGTGAAGAATGCTGATAATTGTAAGTGGTTTATCACTTTCATTGATGATCATAGTAGGATAACTTGGACTTATTTGCTAAAAGATAAATCTGAAACTGTTGGTGTTTTAACCCAATTTTATAACATGGTTCTCACTCAATTTGGGTCTAAAATTCAGCTATTTAAATCTAATAATGGCAGTGAATTTTTTGCTAAGTCTTTGGGTGCGTTTTTCAGGGAAAATGACATAGTTCAGATTAGTTCTTGTGTTGACACCCCACAACAAAACAGTATTGCCGAAAGAAAAAATAGACACCTCCTTGAAGTTACCCGTTCTCTTCTATTTACCACTAATGTTCTAAAATATTTGTGGGGGAAAGCCTTATTAACTGCCACATATTTAATCAATCGAATGCCTAATAAGGTTTTACAATTTCAAACACCTCAATCTATATTTTTGCAATATTTTCCCCATTTTAAACCTATCTCCTCCATTCTTCCACTTAAAATATTTGATTGTACTATTTTCATCCAAAACATTGCTCCTAATAAGTCCAAGTTAGATCCTAAATCATTAAAGTGTGTACTGGTTGGGTATTATTCACTTAAGAAGAGTTATAAATGCTATCATTCTCCTTCTAAATGATTTTTTACCACTATGGATATAACATTTTATGAGCAGGATCTCTATTTCACTCGGGCTGAAATTCAGGGAGAGACATAGAATGATTTTCAGCCACATCAAGTATCTTCTCCTACTCTTCATTCTCAACCTTCAGAATTGCCACCGATTTTGTCTTTACCTATAGATTTGTCACCTGTAACTACTCCCATTGATTCATTTGTATTACATATCACTACTTCACCCACACATACTTTAAACGCCCTTCCTGAAAAAACACCTATTCCCATTCAAAATCTTCTACAAACATCACCAATCAAACAACTTCGTGTCTATACAAGGAAAAGAAAACATATTCCTGAGGTTGTTTTGCAATTTGATGCTTGCCGAGAATTGGATTTGGGTCCAGCTGTTGAAATAGAAGAATAAATCAGTAAGTCCACTTTCCCTACTCTAGAGATTTCCCTATTGCTATTAGAAAAGGGGTTAGACAGTGCACCAAACATCTAATTGAAAAATTTCCTGGTTATAATTCATTGATGCCGTCTTTTTAAGCATTTACAGCAAACTTGGATAAAGAACAAGTTCCCAGAAGCATAGCTGAAGCTCTAAAGGATTCAAAATGGAGAAGGGCTGTTGAAGAGGAAATTTGTGCACTAGAGAAAAATGCTACATGGATGTTAAGGACCTTCTCAAGGAAAAAAGGCTGTTGGCTGTAAATGGATCTTTGCTGTAAAGTATAACTCTAATGGTAGTATTCAACGATACAAAACTAGACTAGTGGCCAGAGGCTTTACACAAACATATGGGATAGAATTCACAGAAACTTTTGCACCTGCGGTGAAGCTGAATACTGTTCGAGTACTCCTAAGTTTGGTTGTAAATTGCGATTGGAAATTACACCAACTTGATGTAAAAAACGTTTTTCTTAATGACAAGCTAAAAGAAGTCTATATGAAGTTGCCACCTGGCTTAAAGTTTGTTGAAGGAAGTAACAAGGTGTGCAAGCTCAACAAGTCTCTATACGGAGTAAAACAATCATCCAGAGCTTGGTTCGAGAGGTTCACTAAATTCATTATGAAAAACGGTTACAAGCAGTCCCTCGTCGATCATACTCTTTTCATCAAGGTAACTTTTACAAATAAGAAAGCTATCCTTATTGTGTACGTGTACGACATAATTCTTACCGGAGATGATGAAGAAGAGATTTGCAATTTGAAGTTGTTAAATGAGGAATTCGAAACCAAGGAATTGGGAAAGCTAAGGTATTTCCTAGGAATAGAGGTGGCAAGGTCAAAAGAAAGACTTGTAATCAACCAAAGAAAATATGTACTTGATTTACTCAAAGAAACTGATTTTCTTGGTTGTAAGCCGATTGATACACCAATAGAGACAAACTTGAAATTTAGTAAAGAAGATGAGTCCTTAGTAGACAAAGAGAAATTTCAAAGATTAGTTGGGAAACTAATTTATTTATCCTTGACAAGGCCAGATATAACCTTTCTCGTAAATGTGGTAAGTCAACACATGACTAATCCTACTGAAGAGCATATGGCAGCAGCAAATAGAATTCTCAAGTACTTGAAGAAAACTCCAGGACACGGCTTAATGTTTAAGAAGACACAAGACAGAACTGTTAAAATTTTTACAGACTCTAGTTGGGCCGGAGACCTTACTGAAAGGAGATCCACTAGTGGCTACTGCACATTTGTTTGGGGTAACCTTACAACTTGGAGAAGTAAGAAACAATCTGTCGTTTCAAGAAGTAGTGTTGAAGCTGAATTCAGGCACTAGCATTGGGATTATGCGAAGGAATTTGGCTACTTAAACTACTGAAAGAACTTGGCACTAATCAAGAGAATCACTTTGAAGTCTTGTATGATAATCAATCTGTTATTCAAATTGCCAAGAACCCAGTTCAACATGATCGGACAAAGCATGTTGAGATTGATAGGCATTTTATAGCTGATCAAGTTAACAAAAAGACAGTCACACTTTCATACATTCCTTCAGAAGAACAAGTTGCAGACATTCTTACTAAGACTTTGCCAAAGCCTGTTTTCAATAAATTCCTATTCAAGCTGGGATTATCCAATGTATATTCTCCAGTTTGAGGGGGAGTGTAGGAATTATAGAGATATGATTTGTTATGATTTGATATCATTCCTTTAATTAAGGGATTTTGTATATATATTTATACAATCTCCTATTTTAAGGGATCACATCCTAGGATTAGTATTTTTCCTTTCTTAAGTATTTCCTACTTTAGAGAGATAATTTGTATATAAATATGTAATCTGTCCTATTGAAAATAATATGAAAATACAGATAATTACTATGATTTCTACAATATCCAGAAAAAGAAGAAGAGATAAATCACAGATTAAAAATATGCCAATGAAATATCCCATAAGCTTAACTGTTGGTTTCTCATCTCTGAGAATTCATTAAATGATTGATGTTTTGGGAAGAACCTTTTCAACATGATATGCTCATGGAAGGTTTGACTGATGATTTGCACTAGATCAGGTTCAATGGTCTGAGGGAATTCTTGTTGTTTCTATGGTGATATTTGGAGTCTTCATTGTCTGGCTTGTGATGGATTTGATTTGGATTGTAACCTGAGTAGCAAATTGTTTTCTATTGGTGATCATCCAGGTAGGGTCCATCGGTGGTGGTCTGTCTTGGGGATGTACTTCTATTGTCTTAGCATTGAGGTAATTTTTATGAGTTTGTTTCTGATTTTTTTTTGGGTTTAAGGGTGGTTTTGTCAGTCATGTTGGTCATCTTTTTGAATGTGGTACGAGTTTGCTCAGCACGGAATTCCCTGATTTTGTTTTTGGTTCATGTGTTGAGCACCTTCAAATTTTATATTTCTTTATATGGTATGTTGTCCTCGTTGCATGTTTTGTAACCCTCTGCTAATTGGATCTATATTCTTGTTAATTTAAGTCCACTTGCCATATCATAAGGTGATGTGGTACTTGAGATAAGATTTGTTGGCCAATGTCCAAATCTAATATGTCAAATACGTTGATAGTGGAAATGAGGATTTGCAAGATGGTGTTTTCATATTTTGATATGTTGACTTTTAGTTTGATGTACATGCTATGAATTTTGAGTTTAAATTATATTGTATGTTACTTTGTGTGTTGTTTGAATTCCTGCAGAGAAAGGCAATAAGAAATAACGTAAATCCCTTGGAGCAGGCTTGTCTACACCCAAATTCTGCAAGTTAAAAGAACTTTACTGCTATCACAGGAGAAAAATAGAAAAAGAATAACAAATAAAGACTTTAACATCAGGTATCCCCACCTCTTAAAAGGCAGAAACAATCTGATCTTTTGCTAAATGCCGATGATCTGGATGGCTTCCCATTCTTTATCTTGATTTTTGGAAACTGCTTATGTAAATAATGTATGAGGGAAATACGATGTACTAATTACACTCTGATTCTTCTCCTAGATATGTTTCTTGCCCTTGATTTTCGGGAACTGCTTATGTTTGATCAAAAATGGTAGGATACAACATTTCTTTTTCCGGAGTATACCTCGCTTTCTCATGTTTTATCCTTAAGCCTGGTTGTTAATTAAACACCTGTCCTTCAAAGCAAAATGAATTAAACTTTGGAATGTTAGTAAACCAACCTCTCATATATCCTCTTCCTCTGCTTAGAAAGTAGTTTTCTTTCTGCTATTGTGTGTGGATTTCATTTTGGGTTTTCTACTCATTAATTTTTGGATTTTTCATGCATTCAATAGTATTTGATGAGCATGCCCGTCGTGGCAAAACTAGTGCTGGAAATAATCAAGAGATGGATTTCGAAAGTTTTCTTGACTTTGTTCTGGCCCTTAGGAACAAAGACACCCCAGAAGGATTTACATATTTGTTTTTTCTGCTGTCTCGATCATAATGGTAGAGGATTCCTCACAATGGCAGATATTCATTCTTTTTTCAGGTAAAGAACTCTTCATATATTCTTAAAGTTTAATTTTGACTGTCACGGTTTGGACCTATCTTGAAAAAATGGAAGTGAAGAAGGGGAGCATCACAGTGATGAGATGTTACCTGATACAATCTTCCTACATAGAACTCTGTATTTTCCTGCTTGTAGTAACTGAGCAAGTTTCTTCAAGTCTCATATCTCCAGATACATGAATGATGAAATTATTGATTTATTTGAACATTCCCCACCCATCATAATCGTCAACTGAAAAAACTTCTCATTCGACTCTTGAAAACAGGGTTGTACATCAGAAATGGATCGAAGGGGGCAACTATGAATTGTGTATTGAGGTTGTTCAGAATGGAATTTAGGATATGGTAAAGCCAGTTGATCAGTTGAAAATTACACTAGCTTGACCTCCTAACTTGTAAACAGTAAGACTTAGGTTAGAATAATTGCATTTGCAATATGTATGCGTATTTTCAATAGAATTGAAGAAAATTATGAACATATATTACCTTGTAATTAACCTTTGATTACGAAGAAAAAAAATTAAAACAAAAAAATTAATAATAGAGTTGGTTAAGTAGGTTGTAGGAAGGTTTAAAGTTGGGATAATATTTATATTTAGTATCTATAAAATTTTATCAAAGTGATTTGATACTTACTAACATTATTTACTTACATATTATAATAATGATAATTTAAATATCACATTTAGCATTTTAACAATGTATAAATACCATATTAAACATTTTAAATATATGCACAAAAATAAATATGATCTTTTAAGGTTGGGAGTCTCACGGTCTCACCATAAGTTCATTTGGTATTTTAAAACAAATTGATGTTTGATGTTTGGATTTCGTTATTAACTTTTATTTTAATTTAATTTCATTTCATTTGCATATAAAAGAATTGCAACCATACATAAATTTTATAGTAACTTGTTGATAATATGATCTCAATTAGAGGTGAGTATTCTATTAGATCGAATAAAATAAAATAAAAATTTTGAGTTGATTGAATTGACAAGTATTATTATATCGTTCAAACTATATTTGAATTTTCTCAATTTGATTTTATAAAATTTAAGTCGAGTCAAATATATTTACTCTAATTTTTATTTAAAATTATTTATAATATTATGGTACTGATTGATTCCAATTTGAACGACTTTCTCTAGTCATATATAATACATATTTATAATCCTTCATATCCATTTTTATATGTCAAAGTAAAAATTATAATAAATAATAACTCAAAACATTTTTTATATACAAACTCACACACCACATTTTCAAACGCTCGATCTAAATAAAAAGAATGAACTCTTATTAGTCACCAAGTCAAATAACTTATTTCAATAATTCAAACTTTTAAATTATGTTAAAATCAAACATGAAGAGAGAAAAATAAAATAAAATGGCAATCTAGTTTTACACATTAATAAATAAAAATTAAACGAATAATCAATCATTAAATATGTCATCGTTACTGCATTTAATAATTGTTTTTATAATGTTAGACGAAGACCTATCTCTTTTCATAATAAGCAAAAGATGCTAAATATTTTTTTGTACGGATCTGGGTATATGGGCATAAATATAAGGGATGATGGGCCCCTACTAAAATCTTCAAAGATCCCATTTATTATCAATTATTCATAAATAAATGGGCTTGCATTAAAGTTGTCCAATTCCCATGCCCATTGCTTGTGACTAGTGAAATCTATCAACTATCATTCTATTTTCAAAATATAATATATAAATTAATTGACTAAAATTTCAAATTATAAAAATGAATTAAAAATATTTTTTAATAGCATGTAAAAAAATATTCCATATGTTATTTTTATATCGTCCATTGTTGGCTTTTCAAGTAGTTTTAAAAAGAAAAAAATGTGTAAGAGACGTGTTGTAAAAAATTAATATGACAATTTATACCGAGAAAATTGAATTTTTCTTTGTTGGGAAACTAACAAAAGATAGAAAGGAAAATGTGTCTAATAAAAGTTAATGATTTTTTAAAGGGACAATTTAAATGGACAAAATAAATGGAATAATCTTAAAACACAAAAGAGAGAAATTTAATGAGGAAGGGAGTAATTGATAAAAAAAATCAAACAATAAAAAATGAAATTAAAAAAACTTATTTTAAAAATTTACTTTTTATTTGTTCAAAAATAAAATATTTTATTTTTTCTATAGTTTTTAATTAAATTAAAACGCATAACATTGAAGTTGCATACGTTCAAAGTTGAATTATAAATTTAGTAATAAGAACAAGTTTATCTCGTCGATCATCGACGATTCACTCATTCTATATTGGATAAAGAGTCGTAATCGGTGAGTGAACGACCATTATTCGATATTCTATGTGAGAGAAAGTTGATCATAAGGAAGAAGAATGAGAGATCATGTCTAGATTGTAGAAGGTTTAATCCCCTCTCTCAATTGTAGTCGAGGGGTATTTATAGTAACCCTTAGTTGACGGTGACAAATTTATCTCATTGGTCGTTGGTTGTTAGTTTGGAAAAAGTTGTCATCGATGAGGAAACGACCGTTGGCTGGTGTTTTTTTAATGAGGGGGGTTGATCATGAGGAAGAAGAAAGAGAGATTGTGTTTAGCTTGTAGAAGGTTTCTCGCATCTCTTGATCGTGGTTGAGGGGTATTTATGGTGACCTTTAGCTAGTGAAGTCAAAAGTAATGTAATTATGGCTATTTTTAGGTCAGTAGGATAATTAGATATAGTCACCAGATTTTGGATTTCGTTTTGATAGATCACATGAGTCTTTCAGAGATCTTATCTAGACGCAATAATTGTGGGCTTGTACCCAAAGAATGTAAGCTTTTTGAAGGCTTTGGAAAGCGAAGAGGTCTGTAAGGCCTTGACTTGCATAGAACTAGCAGTTTTTAAAGGTTTTCTCTAAAATTAAATTGTTCTCCCTTAATCGAAGGATGCCATAATATAGTTTATTCTAAGCCTTATGGTAGAAAATACAACATACATCTCTCAATTTGGTTCAATAATCGAAGGATGCCATAATATAGTTTGATCTAAGACTTATCTTATGGTAGAAAATACAACATACATCTCTCAATTTAGTTCAATAGCAGAGGTGTCTTATCATATTGTTATTTTCAAGATAAAGGCAACTCATTTTTTTTTATGTGGGCCTGATTGATAGGTGGAATCATATCTGTGTTTGGCAATTGAATCACAATACTTATGCTTAAACAAAGGATAATAGCCTTAAGTGGGTCGATGTCTACCTCTCACCGTCGTATAGGGGTAAAAGATAATATCCTACTACTGAGACATACACATTTGGATTCTCTCTTGAACATACTTCGGAGAATTTAGAGGTGTCTTGGCGTCGGTAAATAGGTAAGAACAACTCTTGTAGAAGTGAAGGATAAGATAGTTTTGGAGACATAGGTTCGTTTAGAGGATAAAGGGTATGATGTCCTCATCTTGACACTCTATTAAGGTGGAGGCTTTAAGCTCTTTCAACTGGTTCTAGAACGTGATTTTGTGGGGTGAGACATCTCAACACCTCTTGGCTAGATGTTGGTGGCAGCAACAGAATCACTATATCAAAAGGTAGGGTTGTGGTTTCACAAAACTCGCTGTCGAAGAGAAGGCAGCTCATCATCCTCAGACTAATCTGGTAGGTGGACAAAGACTTCTTTGCTATGAAAAATTCATACCGGAATGCACATTAGTTCCATATGTTGAAGGAGAATTATTATATGAAATTAGAGAAAAAAAATACCTTAGGCTGGGTTACCTATTCTGTTCAAACCCGTTTTGATTTGACCGATCTAAAGTGACTGTCTAGTATTGTGTCGAACGGAATGGTTAGGCAAAGGAAGAACTAGTTCATCTAGTCGACCTTGAACTAACGAAATACTTAACTATGGACCATGTCCAAAACCTAGTGCTTTCGTGTCACAGGCAAGAACATCGGTGCTTTCCCATCCAATCCCATATATTGAACAACCACATGCAAATCCATTTGGATCCAGTAATCCAATAACACTTAACTTTTCCTCCATGGTCGGATGAGACATCGATGGAAGAGGTAGGCCTATTAAAAAACTCACATCCTCTGTCAACCCATCATTGATACCCACCGGTTTTGCTTGACCCAAAAGATCGTCGAAGATCTTCTGAAACTTAGCTAAGGTCGTCCAACTTCGTGAAATCAAAATGGAGGTTTTCCATCAATGTCTTCTCAAATTGCGTGAACTGATCATTGAGGGTATTCTCAAGAGAACATAACCGAACGTCAGGCCCTTAAACTGCTACCTGAAGCTTTGTAAGGCCCTTAAACCCATTGACGAGAACCATTGACAAATCTAATAATACCCTTGCAATGAAATACAAACAGAAAACTAAAAGAAATAGCAAAAGTGAATAGAACAATGACCACCACCAGCCCGAGCAGATGCTAAGTTCTGCTTGCTAGAAAGATGATCAATGGAGAATGAAACCTAATCTCTGACTATAACGAATCATTGTCATCGTTACTCAAATGGTTATTGATTCTCTGATATCATTACATAAAACAAGGTTCGCCTCAAGAGGAGCATAGCTGCATGGAATTACTCCAACCTTGGCATTCTTTGTGACAAGATTACTAGATAGCATTCTAAGGAACACATTTTAGTTGTTTTTGGCCAGACTATAACTCATAATGAGATGTGCTTTCCCCAACAGTAACATTCTTGCAGCTATATAATACCTAGTCTATGAATATGATATGAACTTGTTTTGTCACTTAATATAATTCTTAAAATGCAGTACAACCACATTGGAAGTTGAGTCAAAACAAGAATTTGGCAAGACAATATAGCAGAACAACCATCTAGTTACCCTGGTCACCGTCCATACCTAACACTACACCTAGATGATGTATGCATGTCTATACTAAAACATAAGCATACAGATGGAGAAACAGGAAATGCATGTGCATGTGCACTTGCATGAAAATAACATCTTTTGTAATTTATCATCCAAGGCAAGCCACTAGACAAAGCACCAACATAGAAGAGATGTTTTGGAATTGATCTCCCACGCCCACCAACTTGCCGGTTCATGTATTCCTTTCCCTCTTTCCAAGCAGAAATAGTGTGTTTCAAGCTGTCAGAGTTGATCCATGATTTCCAAGCTGCATAAAGAAAAGTGTAAGCATTAAGAGAAATACACAGAATGGAAGATTCATATACAAGATATCTGGTGTAAATATCTTGAAACTTTCTAGTTATTTGGAAATAGAACACTAATTTTCTTGGTAAACGTTAGAACTTAGAAGAGTTACTAGTTCAAAAAAAGATTACGTATTGCGAACATACCTCTCTCAAAATCAATATAAAATCCAAAGCACTGAGAACTCCAACAAACTTCCCCTTGGAAAAGTCCCAAAGCGGAGCCGATGCAATACTCT